GTTGGGTGTTATCTTTTTAATCCATTTAATCTGTCTTTTCATTGGATAATTTAGTCCATTTACATTTAAAGTAATTATTAATAGGTATGGATTTACTATTGACATTTTCTTAATTGTTTTCTGGTTTGTTTTTGTTTGTTTGTAATTCCTATGCTTTTCTTTTCTTGCTCTCTTCCTATGTGATTTGATGATTTTTCTGTAGTGGTATGCTTCAATTTCTTCCTTTTTATTTTCGTGTATCTATTATAGGTCTTTCATTTATGGTTGCACTGAGGCTTATACAAAAACATCTTTTTTTCTTTTGCTATAATTAATGTGCAATTATATGAAAAACATTATGGTTACTAGACTCCCCCTGTTATCAAGTCCCTGCCACATACCCTATTACAGTCACTGTCCATCAGCATAGTAAGATGCTATGGAATCACTACTTGTCTTCTCTGTGTTATACTGCCTTCCTTGTGTCTCCCCCTACATTATATTTGCTAATTGTAATGCCCCTTTTCCCCTTTATCCCTCCCTTCCCACCCATCCTCCCCAATCCCTTTCCCTTTGGTAACTGTTAGTCCATTCTTGGGTTGTGTGAGTCTGCTGCTGAAAAACATCTTATATTTATAATGTTTATTTTAAGCTCTGGTAACAACTTAAGCTGAAATGTGTACTAAAGCTCTTTCTCTCCCCCCCATTTTATAATTTTGCCCCCCAATTTACTTTTTTTATCCATTTAAAAATGATTTTAATTATAGTTATTTTTAATGTTTTTTGTTTTTTAATCTTCATACTAGATTTATAAGCAATTTACCCATTACCATTAAAAGTTATAGTACTCTGAATTAAACTGTATGTTTACCTTTACCAGCAAAATGTATATTTTCACATGTTTTCCCATTACTAATTAGCATCCTTTCATTTCAGCTTGAATAAATTCCCTTTAGCATTTCTTGTTAGGTTGACCTAGTGGTGATGAACTTCAACTTTTGCTTGTCTGAAAAATTCTCTCTTTCCTTCAATTCTGAAGGACAACTTTTCTGAGTATAGTATTTTTGGTTGGTATTTTTTTTTCCTTTCATCAATGTTGACTCGATCATCACAGTCTCTCCTGACCTGCAAATTTTCTGCTAAAAACTCTGCTGAGAGTCCTATGGAGGTTCCTTTACATATATAGCAAGTTATTTTCCTTTTGCTGCTTTTAATATTCTCTTCTTTTCTTTAACTTTAATAGTTATAATATTTTTCATTGTGTGTCTTTCTAGTTTCATCTTATTTGGAATATCTAGGATTCCTGGGTGTCTTTTTCTTTACCCAGGTTAGGAAAGTATTCAGCCATTATTTCTTTGAATAAGCTTTCTGCCCCTTTCTCTATCCTTTCTCCTTCTGGGACCTCTATAATATGAATATCGATCTGTTTGATGGTATCCCATATGTCTCTTAAGCTATTTTCACTCTTTTTCATTCTTTCTGCTCTTATGATTGGATGAATTCTATTGCTCTGTCTTTGAGTTTGCTGATTTTTTTGATCCAGTCTGCTGTTAAACCCCTATAGTGTATATTTTTTCCAGTTCAATTATAATATTCTTCAGGTCTGTGATTTCTATTTGGTACTTTCTTATATTTTCTCTCCATTGAAATTCTCATTTTGTTCATAAATGTCCTCTTGATATTAGTGAGTGAATTGATGACCATTATTTTAAACTCTTTGTCAGGTAAATTACTTAATTTCCACTTCATTAAGGTCTGTTTCTAGAGTTTTATCATATTCTTTTGTTTGGGGGTATATTCCAGTCTCTTCATTGCTCTTAGCTCTCTGGATTGGTATCTGTACATTAGATAAGACAGTCACCATTCAGACTCCTGATGGATTGGTTTCATGGTCAACCCAGTCTAGCTCTTTTCTCAAAACATCAGGATTGTCTAAACATGCTTCTTTGTTCTTGGTGGTGCCAGTAGTCCCAGGTGTGACAAGATTTCTCAGTGTCCCAAAATGGTGGACCTCAGTATCTTCATGCAGACAGATTAGGAGTTGTACAATAAAGCAGTGGCTTTGGAAGTATGCAAATAGGCCTCTTTCTGGGAAAGATTGGGATTTGGGCATTTCTCCTTGCCCCATCTGTACTGAGTCCTGGGGTAATAACTAGTTAAGAAGTGTTTGTTTGCTCTAGTCCTGTGGGAACTGGAATGCAAGAATTTAAGCCCCACTCTCCACCAGAGCAGGTGATCAAGAGGTGAATTCTCTGGATGACTGCTATAAAAACAGGGTACCAGACATGTGCACAAGCTCCTTTCACAAAGACACCAGTGACTTAGATCAGGGAAGAAAGAGAATGCAAAGATGGTACCTGCTGGTCTCCCTGATGCCAGAAAGAGTTTCAGTTGGCTCCTACATCTTTTACATTTAGATGTGTGTTAAATTAGAAGCCTAACTCTCATGCTATAGTTTTTAAGATATGAAAATAAGCCTTTTTTAAGGGATAGCCTGAGAGATGGGCATTTTTTGCCCACTGTCTTTGCACTGAGCCCCTGGGGGGAGAGCCACAGGGAGTTCTCACAAGTTCATTAAGAACTGTTTCTTTGTTTGATATAGTGTCATGGATCATGTGGGCACAAGCTCTGTTGACTTTTAGGTCTCCATGTTATGGGGGAGCTGTCCTTCAGGAGGAAGTCTTAAAAATTAGGGCAATGGATGTTGAATCCAAATCCTTCTCTTCTCAGGGAGAATCTGGGAGTTATGAGTTCCCTTGTGATTGTATGTTGCTGTGATGGGATAGGGTTTATGGCAGTGTGTCTCAGTTTTTCTTACCTGTTTTGATATGGGTTGTTCACCTAATGTTCACTCAGCTAGTTTCTAGATTTTTTTCCAGAGGGAATTGTTTCATGTGTAGCTGTAGATTTGGTGTGTCTATGGGAGGAGGTAAGTTCAAGAGCCTCTTATGTCACCATCTAGGACTGGAATCCAGTAAAACTTATACTCAATGTTTATAACAAAGGATTAATTCTCCCAATACCTGCCTTTAGGCTTGTCAAGATGATGAAATGAGGTATTTAGTAAATAAGATATTTCATAAAGTATTTTGAAAAGAATAGGGCCTTATGTGAATATAAGGAAAGTTTGCTTTGGTATTCCTGAATACAGAGACTTCCAGAGTGGGTGAGAAGGGTATATAGTATGGCTCATCTCTTCTTACTTCATGGCAAGACATACATATATCCCCCTCTTGTTTATGAAGCTGCAAACAAAACCAATTTAGTCTAAACATTCTGTTATGGGTCAGGCATCTTAGAAATCCCAGTAGTTGTTGTCATGTTCTTTTTGAAAGACATAGCAAGGTGGCCAGCTTATAGTCCAGTTGTTTGAGCTGCCAAGTGACTCTTAAAAACAACTTTCTCCAGTAGCACACCGCATAGTTGCCTCTCTCCTCACTCCCTATTCTTTCATTTTAATCTTTTGTTATGTGTGATTTTTCAGATTCCAAAAGTGTAAACAAAACATGTCTGTTCTGTAGTTTCTATTATCCAGTGCAAATTGGAAAAAGAAACCATAATGCTTCTTAATCTTTTTAAAAAATTCCTTTTTTTTGCAAATAATTTATTTCCAAATATTGGTGTTCTTTGCATGATTTGGACAGGGTCAGGTGGAATAGAATGAGGATTCATATCAACCTGTTGCAGATAATGCTTTTTTCCTGAAAAACAGCATAATTATAGTAGGCAGGTTCCCAGCACTTTTGTTATCACCATGCTGGGGATAAAACTGCAAAGAAACCTTAGGCATTGAGGGAAAATTGTTTGCTACATTTGGGGGAAAAAATACCTCAAAGAAATGAAGGTATATCAAAGGTGTTCCTTTTTCCTCTTTATTTCTAAGAAATGTATTATTTCAGTCATATAGAAGAAGATAAAATTTAATTGTATTTTTAGTGAAAAAAATTGTTCAAACAATTGAGAAGTCAACTTTTAAATATTAAATGGAATTTGACCCTTGTTGAATATGTGCATTTGAATATTTAACATCATATTTTCCTGTAAGTTACATCATTTATGTGTTCCGTACTCTCTCAAGTTAGAGTGCTAATTTCCCCTGTGTGGTTTCACAAGACAGTATTGTCGTTCACTAACAACATTTCATAGTGCATTAATAACATCAACACATTTCCCTGTGTGGCAGCTTCAGGGTTATAATAGATGTTGGGACATTTGTTAAACACAGGTAAGTATTAAATATCAGGTGAGGGAGAGAGGGAGAGTAACAATGGCATTTGCTGCCAGCCCTTAGTTCCTTTGAGATGTATATGAATGCATATGACTTGTTCAGTCTATTAGGCAAATGCTAGTTCAGCCGTAGCACATACGTTGGTTTACAAACACAGTTTTAGAATATGGTGTGGGATGATATGCATGTATGAAAAGTCTGGGTATGAATTTCAGAGATTCCATTTAAAACTTTATTTTTTTAATTTAAATTTTGATCTCAAAAATGTATAAGGGATATTAGTTTTGATAATATTCTGGAAAAATAATTAGGAATGAAGTATTAAGGAAAATAGTACCCTAGATTTTAAAAATATGACATATTCTAAATGAAATGGAAATGGATCATTAATTTTGTCAGTTTTATTTAGTCCAACAACCAGATAGTCATTTTCAGTTGTTCCCCTCTACTGTTTTATCATGTGACATTCTTTCTGTTTTATAAGGAACTGTTTTAAAGTTTAAATATTGTAAGTCCTTCAGCTAGAGAAGCTGTTCCTTAATATTTTAGCTTGAAAAAAGGAAGAAAGTATTATATTTCTTTATACCATTTTGAGACATGAAAATGATGCTGAGGGTTTTTTTCTTATAGAAAAATAAAATAAACATTTAAAAGAAAAGAGATTTTATAGAAGTATATTTTAGTACTTTTTGTTACTCTGAATGTGTAAGAGTGTATGAAATAATGAAAGCCAAATAAACAAATAAAAAACCCTTAGTACTAAATGCTAGTATTTTTCTTCTTTTTCTTTCAGCTTTCAGGAGAAGTGATTTTACGAATTGCCAATGAACCAGTTCTGCCCTTTAATGCTCTGGATATAGCTTTAGAAGTTCAAAACAGCCTTAAAGGTAATTTTTCTTTGAATTATAGTAATTTTAGCAAATGAAAAATTGTTCAACTAATTTTCAACAAGGAATAGATAAAATCATCTACTATCTTACTACCTATAGCAATGCAGTATCTCCTTTCCTATAGAAGATTATCATGAGAAGGGCATAGAAGAATTTTAACTACCATGTCAACAGGTATGAGGTGTACTTATGAGTGAACATCAGGCAAAATAGCAGATTTTAAAGGATTTCCCACCTACTTTTATCAGAGATTTATAATTTCAAGCTTCTGTTATTATTTACAGGTTCCATATGGAAAAGCATAGTTCAGGAATTCCCCTTGGCCCTTTCTTTAATGTTTGTCCCTAACCCTCAGTCATTCCAAACCAGCCTGGCCCAGGAGTTCCTCCTTTGAGATTGGTTTCTATGAGGTGTGGGCCCCATGCCACTTCACTGAAGTGTTGGCCCATCTTAGATTTAGAATGATAAGAACAGAATTATTTTCATACTATTTAAGTTTCTTCATATTTGAATACATCTCTTTCTTCAGAATTCTGACACTACCTTAAAAATTATCTTCATTCCTCTTTATCTACATATAAACTTTTCAATCAGGCTTATAATTTATCTTCATGAACAAAATAAGGACAGTATTGTAATTAAAGAATGCATCCTCTTCCTCCTCTTTGAGTCACACGTCTTACTGTCACATCTTTAATGATTGATTTGCAGACATGTGCTTCTCAATACATTTAACTCTCAACATTTTAACTATGGTATTTAAGCAGTAATTCTTGGAAAATGGAGCATTCTAAAAGAGACATACGTTTTTAGTATCTTAAAGTTTAATACTTTAAAAATATTTTTTGACTACCTGGAATACTTCTTAACCCAGAGAATTCTACAGTATGTTATTTAACCCCTTCCATGATTTTTATAACTTTTATTATAGTGGCTGTAAAACCATGACCTTGGGAACAATTGACCTGTTTAGTGCTCTTTGCTCCCACACGAAATGGCCTTAGGTATTACATTGCTTTGGGTATCTTTAAAGTAGTGTCTTTATAGTTTCCTTCTTTTCTACTTTTACCGAGCTTCTACTTCACTGTTTTCAGTGTGACTACCTGTAGCAATCTGTCCTTCACTTCTAATATACTATTTCTAGATATTTTTGGACCTAGACATCAAGTCATCAAGTATATGATATATTATGAAATAGAAACAGACCTGGTATAAATAAGGACTCTAAATTATTTAGAGTCTGTGAATAATAAATATTATATTTTCTGCAAGGATTTCTTTTAAGCATGTATTTTGCTTGTACTGTGGACTGTTTCACTTTTTCTTTAGTTCTCATTTTCATATTTTTGAAAATTCAGTTGGTGCTGCATTTACTACTGAAAACTTTCAGAGAACAAAAGGATATTATTATTTATATTACATAAAGATTTGTCCATCTATAAAAGAATAACTGTCATGCATAGAAAGGAGCTTCAAAAAGTATACCACAAAATAATAATATTGCATGAGAGAGAATTATAAATATTTATAAGTTGCTTTTCTTAGCCCAAATTTTCTATGATAAATGTATGTTACTTTCATAATAAAGACATAAAGGTTTTTTTTTCCTAGTTAAAGTCAACAAAAACAAAAGTATTGGGCAATATTGTCATTTGAAATGTCAAGTTCCATTTTTTTTAAGACAATTGGGTCTATTTTTTATCCATAAATATATTATTTTAGCATTATAATTACTATATGAGCATTAAGTAATGTGGGCTATTTCTAAGGTCAAAGAAGGTCCTAATGGGTCATTGTTAGAATTATATAATTACTCTGTTTTTTGCAGGTATTAGGGATCCTTTACAAAATCTAAAGTATGGTCTCCCTCCCCAGACAATTATGCATGTACAAAAAGTTTACATTTATTCCCCATGGACTTTATATGATCTCCTGAACCCATTTATCCATTCATTTAACAGATGTTTATTGAGCATTTACTGTATGCCTAGTACAGTTCTATAGCAAAAAACAAAACTGGTGAAGCCAGCTGCTAAACAAATAAATAAAACAAAAGTATAATTTCTGCTCCTAAGAAACATACATACATAGTGGAGCAAAACTGGCATAAGTCAAAGCAATTTTTAAATTGGCATTATGTTCAAATTGTTCCTTAATATATTAATCACTTTGGAGCAAATTTGCATTCTCAAAATGTATTATAGCAATATTGACTGTAGTATCCATAGTACAGAGAAGAGGCCTGACCTTAGAATATAAATTTGGGAGTTGTCCGAGATGAGATTCCTAAAGTGTTGAGTGTAGATAGAGTGCAGAAAAGCTCTAAGATTTCCGGAGCACTCCTCCATTTAGAATTAGACAAAGTGGCAGAATCAGAAGGTTCCAAGAGAGAGTATCCAGCAAGGAAAACCAGGTGAATGTGATGCCTCAAGCCAAATGAATAAAACCTTTCAAAAGGAAGGAGCAATCTCCATGTCAAATATTGCTGATATGTTTAGAAAAATGAGAACTGAGAATTGACCCCTGGATTTAGCAATTTGGAGGTCACTGGTGACCTTAATTTTAGTGCAGTGTTATTAAAAAAAGCTTGATTAGAGGGGTTCAGAGTGAATGGGAGGTGGTAATTTGGGACACATGATGTGATGTGGCAAGTAAGGAGTTGAGAAGGTTTAACATGTTTGTATTTTGATGAGAGAGATCTAGTGGAGAGCCAAGACTTGTTCAAAGAGGATGTAAGAAATATTGCTGGACTGATTTTCTTGAGTAGAGACAATGTAAGGGTGGAGGACTTTTCCTTAGTTATGGACAGAGTAGTACATAAAATGTGAAGGAATGCAGAATACATGGCAGATGGGTAAATGTGGTGGTGGAAGTTCTTAGCAAGTCTCTAGATTAAAAATAGTTGTTTAGGAGAGTGAGAAAGTAAAGAAAATACAGAAATATGTTAAGTATTTTGGGCAGCAGTAAGAGCTCAAAAGAATATATTTTTTTAATGAAATTATTCAACATAAGTATTCAGCCCTCACCTGGGGATTCATGCATAGAACAGACAGAGTTGGATTTAATTAGGCTAAAGCCTTGCTGGGAGGGACAATGAACTGGATAAGATAAAAAAAAAAAAAATGAGTGTATGTACAAAGTAGCCCTGATGGACCAAAGGTTTTAAATTGGGTATGGAATAAAATGAGGATATGAAGGGATTAAGGGAGAATAAAAAGGAAGGAGGATCATTAGACTTTATTTCTTGGCAAGATTAAAGAACTGAGAGTGAGCTGAAGAGATTCATTTGCTGGTGGCCAATGAGATTGAGATTATTCAAAATGTGATCATACAAAGAGTGCAGATAGTGTTAATGAGAATGTCCAGGCTAGGGAGTGACCAGAGATCACTAGAGGGAAAGAGAGTAAGGAAAAGACAGTCCAGACTGTGGGTATTGAAATTGCAAAAATCAAGAGAGGAATGATTCTTGTAAGAGGGAGTGACTGAACCAGGAGCTAAAATGGTCAAATGAGCAGTGACCTAGAGGTGCCTCATATTGTTATTCTAGGGCTAGGAAAAGCTTTTCTTTGGCTGTTGGTCATTTCTGAGTTTTGTTTGTTTTGATATGAAACTCCCTGAGTTTCCCTGCCATTTTCCCTCTGAAAAATGCAACCATCTGAAAGACCCCATACTACCAAAAAAAAAGCAAAGCAGAACAAAATGAGACAAACAAAAAAATATATATAAGCAAAACAAAATTATTTTGCCATGCCCTAATAATATAAATATTTGATCAAAGTGATATGTTTTATCACCTTTAAACTACACATTTTTATATTTTAGTCATTTAAAATTATTTGCTCTGTATCACATTCAAGTATTATTCAAATGTTTGTTAAATTGCAGGCAATTTGGTATACTCATTCTATTTTGACTGCTCTGGTTTTAAACTTATTTCTAAAATAGAATTCTTTAATGGGCTAATAGGGGAATAATGGACACCAGTTACCAATAACTGAATAAATATTCAGTTTCGATTTTAGCTACAATACAAGATGATTTCATTACCCAGAGTTCTTGTACCATGTTAAATGAAACATATAATTTTACTGCTAAATGCTTTTTTAATTGTTTATATATTTTCTTATTTTGTTATGACAGTTAGCAGTGATTAGTCAAGTTCTTGATTAAAGTTTTTTTTAAGAAAATGACCTTCAAGGCTGAACTATAAAATACTGTTTCTCCTTACTGCAGAGTTTAAGTATAAAGGTCTCTGAAACCCAATTGCATTTTCAATAGTGTAATTTTTACCCCTTGACAACCAGCCATCTTGTTTATTTATTACACTAGTTTACCGTAGCAGCAGACCGTTCTCTACCTTTCTCACAACCACCAGAAAGAGGATAATTTACCAGTGAATAATTTGTTTGAGTTGATTTATTGGATGGTTCTTGAAAGCTCATTTTGACTGAGTGACCTTGGCTCTTAATATTTGGTCAATGCCAAACACATAATACTTAGAGAATGAATATTGTATGTGCTGCACAGAGACAGAGTGTAAATAGGGACTGATTAGAAAATTAATACACTTCAGGCATACTTCTGACAAATAAAAGTATGCCCAAAAATGCACATTCAAGGCAATAGTAGTAGATTGTGGGGGCAGAGGAAGGTGTCAGGAATAAAGTACCACTTCATTCTTGAACCGGAAAGCAGACTAAGGAGTGAGCACTAATAAGCTGCTAAGTTCATTTTTTTCTCACTTTATCCACCATTGAATGTATAAAACAGCAAGCACTTCAGAATACTTGGCAACTATGCAATTCTGCTGCTTTTTGTTTAGTATTAGCTTTTTTGTTGCTGTAATTCTGGATGTTAATTATTCAGCATTGTTGTAAAACTACAAATGACCAAATAAAATGAAAGCCATTTTCACTTCATCTGACTATGTACACATTTATTTAGTGTGAGCCAGACTCCGCAGGAAACATAATTTTGATTTGTGTGGCTTATTGCCA